GATGAGTTACCTAAACTAAAATGTAGGTCAGTAACAGGCCTCTCTGGCTCACCTCCCGCTCTGGGTCCAAGGAGAGCCATGGGCTGGCTGCGGCGCCTTCTCATCTGCAGCGCCTGACCCTTCCCAGTACCCATGATGCCAAGGGATAGTCCAGGGCTGAACCCCAACTGAGCTGAGGGCTCTCATTCATGCTCCTCAGACTCCTGGCCCGCCCCACCTGAAGAAATGAGAAGGGTTGGCCCCAAGTAAAAGCACGTGTATGTATCCAACTTTGTATCCAACTTGCCGTTTCTCTGACCAACAGTGACACTGGACATTTTCCAAGTACGGCAAAAAGTGTAAAGGTCACTAAAATGAAAAAGACACCAGGAAGAGTAAAGGCATTACATTTATTTTATTTTTTTTATAAAGACTGCACAAAACTGTACCAGGGCAATGAACAACAGAGTGATTTGGTAGTGATAAAAACAAGCATTGCTATTGACAATGGAAGAGCAGCTGAGTTTGTCTGAAAACAAAACTATTTGATAGTGAATCTAAATGTCATGAATGTGGGTGAAGAAGTAGAAGAAAGTGGAAATGAAGGGAAAATCCTGCTCTTGACAGCCTCAGTAATTCTATCAAACATAAAGAAGAAATAAAACCAATTTTACACAAACTCAGAAAATTGAAGAGGGAAGACTTCTCAACTCATTCTGAGGCCAGGATTACTCTAAGAGCAAAACCTGACAAAGACATTACAAGAAAATTACACACTAGTATACTTCATGAACATATATGTGAAAATTCTAATGAAGAAAAATAGCAAATCATATTCAACAATACATAAAAAGATAATACATCTCGACAAAATGAGGCTTATTCCAGGAATGCAAGATTAATTTTTAAAAATTTTAATCAGGGTATCTCACCATAAAATGAATTAACAGAAAATATATAACAGTATTCATGTTAACATGTAACAATATGTTAACGGAATATAAAATAAAAACAATCATCTCAATTTTATTTTTTAAAATATATTTTATTGATTTTCCACAGAGAGGAAGGAAGAGAGATAGAGAGCTAGAAACGTCAATGAGAGAGAAACATCGACCAACCTCCTCCTGCATACCCCCTACCGGGGGTGTGCCTGCAACCAAGGTACATGCCCTTGACCGGAATCGAACCTGGGACCTTTCAGTCCGCAGACCGATGCTCTATCCATTGAGCCAAACCAGTTTCGGCCATCTCAATAATTTTAAAAAAGCATCAGACAAAATCCAACATCCCTTCCTAACTAAACACTAAGTAAACCAGGAATAGAAGGGAACGTTGACAACCCAATAAAAGGCATCTATTATATAAGAAAAACAGCCAGCCTGGCCAACATGACTCAGTGGAGAGAGCGTCGGCCTGTGGACTGAAGGGTCCCCAGGTTCAATTCCAGTCAAGGGCACATGCCTGGGTTGCAGGCTCAATCCCCAGTAGGGGGCTTGCAGAAGGCAGCCAATCAATGATTCTCCCTCATCATTGATGTTTCTATCTCTCCCTTCCCCTTCCTCTCTAAAATCAATAAAAATGTATTTAAAGAAAAAGAAAGAGAAACTACAGCCAATATCATACTTAGCGGTGATCTACTGAAAGCTTTCTGCCTAAGCTCAGGAACAAAGCAAGGATGTCCATCCACTCTCCACTTCATTCAGCATTGTATTGGAGATTGTTCCCAGTGCAATAAGGCAAGAAAAGGAAATAGACACCTAGATTGGAAAGGAAGAAGTACTGTAAAACTGTCTTGAGTCACACACATTATTATTTATGTAGAAAACCTATGAATCTATTAAAAAATAAAACTAGAACTTATAGGATTTTAGGACAGTTGCAAGATAAATACATTTCTATTTACTAGCAATCGGCAATTGGAAACTGAAATTATTTCACACACTACAGAATGTCACAGAAGTCCCGAGTTGAGTCAAACTCAGACTTGTGTTTCCAACCCCCAGTGCTGCTATGAGGACCACACCATGATCATTTTTCCTCCCATCCACATCCAGTTGCTGTTCATGGGAGGATTAAGGCTGCAGGATGTTGATTCAGTAGAGAGGGAAACTTGGTAAACAAGCGAGGAAGGCTGTGAAGTCAGAGGCCTGGGATGAGCAGCACTTGGGCAGGTGAAGCTGAAGATGATGATGAGAGGTGGGGAGGAAGCCAAGGGGTGTGGTAGTCAAGGAGGTGAAGCAGACTTCTGTCCACGGTGATGCAGACTTCTAGCCCATTTGATCCAGGACCCCACGGCCCTGGCTGAACACCGAAGTGCCCAAATCCCAGCCCCTGGATCAGCCAGGCCAGGACCCTCCTCAGCCTCTACATCTCTAGGAAGAGGTCACAGCACATCCTGATCCTCTTGATATAATCCTGGGAGCAGTTCTCAGCCAGAGCCAGGGTTGTCACTTCCTGCCACACTCCAGGCTCCTGGGAACCCAGCTTGCCCAGGAAACTTCACCATTAACCCCTACCCACTACCCTGGGAGTCGAGGAATGGGACAGCCTGCTGCCTCCCACCCCCAGAGATTGGGGGGGGGGGGGAAGCTTTTGCAGTAAAAGACATAAATCTCCAGAGAGGGATCTAATATGCCAAAACCTGAGTGGGAAGACCTCCCCCAAGGAGTCTGCAGAGGGTTATCAGAGCTCCTAAATCAGATCTGTGTCAGCTTCACCTGGGTTGAGAACCTGGGCCCAGAGTTGGGGGTGGATGACCCAGGACGTGATGGGGTGAGAAACCAGGGAAAGAGAGGGTGGACTTAGGGATAGGAGGGGGGACAGGGGTAGGTTGAGTGGCAGATCTGAAGCCTCGCTGGAAGAGAGCGGAGAAAGGAGCAGAGTGACAGGAATGGAGGGAGATGAGGAAGGTTCATGTGGACATGACAGGGAACCCCACACAGTTCCAGGCTCCTGGATAGGACAGCATGCAGGACAGGGCACTTGAGTTTCCTGAGTCCAATCTGCATTGACGTGCTGACTTCCTGAATGATCAGCTGAAGGACCTTGGGCAAATGAACCTCTTTTTTGTTGAGTCAACGAGATAAAGCACAGAAAGTGCTCAACATAATGCCTGGGTTAGCAGTTCTCGGTAAATGGAACTCTGTACTGCTAGCCTTCATCCTTACGGAGGGCCAGCATGGACCAGCATGGAAAGTGGAGGGGAGCAGACATGAAGGATAGGTCTTCACGTCTGCTGACCCAGGCTAGGAAGAGGGAGGAAACAAGGGTTAAGATGGGAGAGGGAACGGCAAAGGGGTTAAGGTGAGGAACCGAGAGAGATGGAGAGGATGGCTGAAGCATCGCCAACAGCCCATGTTCCAGAACCCCTCACCGCCTTCTTTCTGCCAGGTGCTGATGGATTTCCCTGCTGTAGCAAGGACTCGGTGGACATAGTGGAAACACAGTGAGAACCAGTTCCCCCATCATTGGAAGACCTCTCCCCCACCTTCCAAGACCGCCAACCCTTGCCACCACTGCCAAGTTTTCATGTACCCCCCCAACCCAGCATCTCCCTCCATCTATTTTCAAAATCTCCCCAAGGATACTATCCAAGCCAAAAGGCCATTGGGGGGGAGGGAGGGGGAGGGAGTGGGGAGTGTGAGTAGCACCCGCTCCTGCTAGTGGGGCATACCCAGGGACGTGGATGGGACCTGACCCCTTAGATGCACCTTGCTCTAAGGACAGAGCTGTCCGAGTTGGGGTTGGGCAGGTGCCTAAGGAAGGAGAGGGAGTCACATGGCTGAGCATTGAAGGAAAGGGGCCAAGATGGCAGCACATGGCCCACAAGCCTGAGGGAACCCATCTCTGCTCTTCACATCTGCCGAGCTGGGACCGAGCCGGTTGGGAAAAGGCAGTGCTCTGGGCTTTTCCTTCTATGAGGAACCACTTCCTGGGCACTGGTTCTCCAAGTGAGCCGCATCAGCTGACTGAGATGCTTGATTAAGATGCAGATTCCTGGGCCTCACCTGCAACCAGCTGGGTCCCTCCTTGTGGGGGGCCAGAGAGACAACTTGGCAAACTCTCCAGACACTTTCTAAATGCACTAATGTTTGAGGCTGCAACTCCAGAATTCTTAGAATGGGAACAGCCAGGGGAGTGGATAAGCTGGGGGGCATCTTGCCAGCCCCTGTAGGAGGCTCCCCCTCCCCCCTAAAGCCATCCCACCAGCCCCTGGAGCCCTGTCACCCAATCTGTCTCCTTCTGTTTTAGGATTGACTTAAACGGATCCCAGTCCTCACGGAAAGAAGTCCAGCCTTCACAGGAGGAGCGCCGGCCCTCACGGAAAGAAGTCCAGCCTTCACAGGAGGAGCGCCGGCCCTCACGGAAAGAAGTCCAGCCTTCACAGGAGAAGCGCCGGCCTTCACAGGAGGAGCAGCGCCGGCCTTCACAGGAGCAGCAGCGCCGGCCTTCACAGGAGGAGCAGCGCCGGCCTTCACAGGAGCAGCAGCGCCGGCCTTCACAGGAGGAGCGCCGGCCTTCACAGGAGCAGCGCCGGCCTTCACAGGAGGAGCAGCGCCGGCCTTCACAGGAGGAGCAGCGCCGGCCTTCACAGGAGGAGCAGCGCCGGCCTTCACAGGAGGAGCGCCGGCCTTCACAGGAGGAGCGCAGGCCCTCACAGGAGGAGCGCAGGCCCTCACAGGAAGAAGTCCCGCCTTCACAGGAAGGAGTCCGGCCCTCACAGGAAGAAGTCCGGCCCTCACAAGAAGGAGTCTGGCCTTCACAGGAAGGAGTCCGGCCCTCACAGGAAGAAGTCCAGCCCTCACAGGAAGGAGTCCAGCCTTCACAGGAAGAAGTCCAGCCTTCACAGGAAGAGCGCCAACCCTCACAGGAAGGAGTCCAGCCTTCACAGGAAGAAGTCCAGCCTTCACAGGAAGAGCGCCAGCCCTCACAGGAAGGAGTCCAGCCTTCACAGGAAGAAGTCCAGCCTTCACAGGAAGAGCGCCAGCCTGCACAAGAGGAATCCCAGCCTGCCCAAGATGAGCTCCAACCTGAACAAGAGGAATCCCAGCCTGCCCAAGAGGAATTCCAGCCTGCCCAAGAGGAAAATGGAAAAAAGGTAACCGTGGTAGACAAGGCCCATCTTCCCTAAATTCTAACCAACCCCTAGCCTTGACAATTCTGGGGCCCTAGTACCAAAATGATATTGACTTGCTCACACCACCTCCCTTCCCCAGAAGGTCTCTGCAAAGAGGCAAGAGTGGGGCGGAAGTGAATAGGGGGGGGGGGGAGGCTGGGGGGGAGGAGGTTAGGGTCAGGGGAGCAGGGCAAGGAATTGGTGTAAGGGAGGACAGGACCCGAGGGGCAGGGGCGCCCTCAGCTTCCAGTTGAAACTTTTCAGAAGGAAGATGAATTGCCAGACTTGAATCTCCCGCCTAAAGAGGACCTGGAACAAGACACAGAACCGCAGCAGGAGGCCCAGGCTGTGCCGCCATTGGACATTTTCCCCACACCCATGCTTAAGCCTGAGGCCACGCTTGAAGACTTGGAGGAACCGAGGTCCAGGGCAGAATCCCTCCAGCCCGGAGATAAGACATGGACACAGAAGGACATCCAACTGTGGAAAGCGAGGTCAGCCTCCGAGACACAGACGAGTATCACGGACAAGGAATGTATGGACCCCACCCATCGCTCCATCTTTGTGCAAACGTCCAAGCACCTCTTCTGGGCAGACAAAGAAAACCAGGTCTCAGAGAACAGCCTGTTCATGGAGACCGGCCTGCAGCGTGGCGAGAGCACAGAGAGGACCGCCAGCCGCCTGGGCCCTCAGAAGCCGGTCCCCGTAAAGCAGTTCGAGGACACAAGCACCCCGCCAGTCCTTTCAGAAGCAGACACCCAGCTGCCCTCAGACACCTGCTTGCCCTCCCCCACCCTCACAGCACCTATCACCTTAAAGGACCTGGTCAGCTTCGCCTCCTCCCTGGCCATCGCCTCCTCCAGCAACAGGGACCTGCCCAGTCTCCTGGAGCACGTGATGAAGCCCCCACCCCCAAAGGCCGCGGCGCCCCCTGCAGTGCCCAGAGTAGAGAGTACCACCCCGCCTGCTGAGGAGCAGGAGCCCCCTGCGGTGCCCAGAGTAGAGAGTACCACCCCGCCTGCCGAGGAGCAGGAGCCCCCTGCGGTGCCCAGGGTAGAGAGTACCACCCCGCCTGCCGAGGAGCAGGAGCCCCCTGCGGTGCCCAGAGTAGAGAGTACCACCCCGCCTGCTGAGGAGCAGGAGCCCCCTGCGGTGCCCAGGGTAGAGAGTACCACCCCGCCTGCCGAGGAGCAGGAGACGCCCTCTGACCTGAAAGAGAGGCCGCCTGAGAAGTCGCTGGAAGCTGGAGAGCCACAGGAACCTCCCAAGCCACAGGAACCTCCCAAGCCCAAAGACAAGACCCTTCACCCTTGCTTTGATGTCAGCAAGCCGGAGCCCAGCAAGACCCCCTTTAAAGGGAAAATCAGGTTTATCCAGGCCCCAGCCAGGCCCTCTTCACTGAATGAAGACAGGAAAGAGTAAGTGAGGCTGGCACCGAGGAGGATGTGTGGGAGGGCCGCTCCTCCCGTTCATGAGGACGGGGACCAGTGGGAATGAGGGGCTGGTGGAGGAAGTGGTGGGTGCAGTGCCGAGGCCAGGGCTGGACGAGGCCTGGGGACCTGGAGAGGGAGCACTCCAGGGCTCGCCAGGGACCTGGGTTCCACATGGGAAGGGCCATTCTAGCATTAGGAAGCTTCTCACCCAGCGGGCAGATGACGTGTCCCTCATCAGAAATGCTCAGGCTGATCTGGCTCCGGCCCTGGGCCTAGGACACTTCCACCGAGTGGCCAGTGCGGGAGAGGGGTTCTCCAGCACCCCCTGACATTCAGTGACTGTCAGCTGCCCATCAGTGTGCACAGGAATAGGTCCTCTTGCCCCAGCGCTCTCCTCAGAGCGGCCTCTGGGCTCATCCCTCTCCCTGGGCCCCCTCACTGGACCCAAAGTGACACCCTCTCTTTTGCATTGCAGCTCAGTGCCGGGAGCCAAGAAAGAGAATCCATTAACGCTGAAAATCCATTTTAAGCTGTTGCCCACTTCTTTCCCCAGAAATATGACTAAACAAAACCAATAAAACCTCCAGTGCTCAGACCTTTCCTGCAGAAGCTCCTGTACCAGTGAACTCACCTGGCTGCAAAGTCCTTGTCTCGATTTTTAGGGATGCCACCACCATTTTTTTTAACTACCGCAGGCCCCCTTACCCCCTGAGGGCTCCACCAGCCCTATTTGTCCCTGCTCGCTCCCCACGGGTAGTTCCACTTTGCCTGCACACACACCACACCCCCCCCCCCAGCCTCCATATCAACAACAGAGACTCATGGCTAGTCTTGGGGAGGCCTCAGTGCCCGCTCTGAGGCTCAGGTCCTTAGATCATAAAATGGGGCTCCCCCTTTGACCTGAAGCCAGGGACACATCGTGGACGTCTAAAGAGAGAGTCTCAGGGAAGGGGGTGCGGGCTGAGCAGGCAAGAAGGTGACTCTGGATGGAGTTCTTTCTTCCTGCTTCTCTCCATGAGGAAGGATGTTGTCCTGGGGCAGGAAGGAGGGAAATAATGAACCAGGAGCCCACAGCCTTGAGTTAGAGACACCCCAAAATGTAGAGGGGAGCCATGTGTAATAGTGCATGCAACCCAGACTCACACACTCTCAGCTGACCAACACATCATACAGACAGGCACTCATAACATCCATGCACACAGGAAGCACGCTCCACACATGCCATGCACACAAGCACATCAGCACAGACATGTACTAGATATATACACAAATGCACAAGCCCCCCCACATTAGGGGAAGGTGAGCAATGTGGGGAAGGTTCTGCAAGAGGAGAGGAATGGCAGCAAATGAGGGAACAGAGTTCTGAGTGTGGGGCTGGACATGGGTGTGAAGAGGGATGAGAAGGAGAGAAGAGGGGGGGCAGGGCCATGACACGAGCTCTGGTCAGCCCGGACCAGAACCCACTCTGGGGCAACGCTCTGTCCGGGGAAAACCAGCCTTGCAGATCCTCAAGGGCCTGGCTGCCTTGAGAGGAGGCTGGGAGGGGAGGCACCCAAAGTCTGGGAGAACGGGGATTAAGGAGGGGCCATCAGTTAAGGATGGGGTGAGGGCTAGCGGGGGAGGGGGCAGGAGATGGGAAGGAGGGATGAGGAAAGGATGCAGAGGTGTCTGGGAAGGGCTGGCCAGGGGTGTCATTCAGCTGCTGGGACCAACCTCCCTGCAATATTTTTTTCCACGTGGTTTGTGGATTCATATTGTTTGGAGGAGGGGCTGCTTCTCTCCAAGGGAAGCTGGGATGTAATAAGCCACAGCCCCACCTCGGCCTGGACCCACCCACCCCACACCCTGACTTCAGGGCTCGGTTTCTTTCTCTCTTGGGTTTCTGCCTCCCAAATTAGCTTCCAGCGTGGAGTTGCGAATCCAGGTCCTCAAAGAGAGGCAGAAACTCAAAAGAATAAAGAGCAGGTTCCCGGCAGAGGAGCAGGCCTGTGTGAGGGAGAGTGCATCTGCCAAAAGATGCTAAAATCCCCCAAGCCGCCCTGGAGCTTCGGGCCTGGGGCGCTAGGCCAGCCCAGAGCCTGTGAGTCTGCCTTTCTGGCAGCAGCAGGGAGAAGACCGAGAGACCCCCGAGGGCACAGAGAACGTGCAGGTGAGTAAGGCTAGGAGAGGGCCCCCTGGGTACAGGGCTGTGAGAGCACATGGCTGATATGGGGTTTCCTGGGAGAAGGTGGAGCTGTCTCCCCACAGGCCTGGTCCTGGGTCCCTGGGGTCTCAGCAGTCCGATGGGGAGTGTCCTCTTCCTGCCTCCAAGGCCTCCACCCAAGACCGGGCAGGGGAGGTGCAGCAGCACACTGCCTTGCTGCCCCCCAGGGAGCCCGCAGCAGCCATGGCCATGAGCTGAGCAGGCCTCCCGCATGGCCAAGGCGTTCACGGGCCTAGCAGCTACCTGCTTAGTAGTGTTGTCAGGCCCAGGTGCTGGGTCTCGGAGGTGAGGGTCGGGAGTGGGGTGCTGGGTTTGGGATAAGGCCTGTCACCTCTCTGCAGCAGGTGCAAAGGACTTGCCAAACTCTTTCCCCGAGGCAGCTCTGCAGACAGGACCTGCTACCACTGACTTCCCGGCAACGGTCAGGTGAGGGCCCTTGGCTGGGAGCAGGGAGAAAAAGCAGGGGTGCTCAGGGGTTGCCTGCCCAGAAGCTAGGTCCCTGCAAGAAATGGTGATTGTATTGTACCCTTCTCTCTGTGCCATCTCTTCAACCCCGGCGCTCACTGGTGTGTGTGTGTGTGTGTGTGTGAGACGAATTGGTGGGTAGGAAGGTGTTGGGATGGTTGGGTGGATGGATGAACAGGATGAAGAAGGATATTGGGAGAAACAATTGGGGGGGAAAGTCCCCTCTCCCCCCAGAACCTGGGGCTGTGGAAGTTGGGGTAAAAGAAACCCCTTTCCCAATTCGGGGGCCCTGTTGCCTCCCAGAGGTCATGCCATGACATTGGCAGAGGTCCCTCAAAAGAGAATCCTTCTATTGGTCACTAATCTGCTGTGCCTGCTACGTGCCAGGCGCAACAGGGCTCTTGCAGCCTCGGTGCATTGTAGCTCCAGAGCCAGACTGCTGTTGGCCCTACTGGGGGCATGGCCTTGTCATGAGTTCTTAATGTTCTCCATACAGACTTGTCCAAATAGGAGTTTGGACATGAGAACTGAGTGGGCACTAAACAGGTGCCAACACACCGCAGCCACGGTTCTCTGCATCCTGCGTGCGGTTCGCCTTGCTGCCTGCCCCTCCACCTGCCCCCAGGATTCCAGGGTTTCTTCAAACTGCCGGCTCCAGCCCAGCGGCCCTGAGACACGCGCAGCCCGAGAGCCACCCTGAGCATCGTGGGGTCCAGCTGAGCCCACAGGAGAGGCGGGAGGCTGTGCAGCAGGCAGACTTGGATGGTAGGTGCCTCCATCGCTGCCCTCTCATCCTCTCCCTCCTCTGACCCACAGAATCCCTGGCCTGGTCCTATTTTAAAGTTTCCTCTTCCGGGAAGCCTACCCTGATCTACATGCCTGTCCCATCGCCTCTAAACATTTCTGCTGTGTTCATCCCCATCCTTCCTTGGTGCTTCCCCAGGGCAAGGGCTAGTTCTCCACTCATCCAGGTTGACACTTGGCTGCAGGCAGGAGTGGCTTCTCCAATGCCTGGAACTTCTGGCAAGCCCCAGATGCTTCCCCAGGGTAGGCCTGCAAGGGCAGGCCCACAGAGCGCCCCCTCTCTCCGGGGGATGGAATTGGAAGCTTCAGAGACTTCCTGGGTATCCTAGCTCAGGGCTTGGGCGAGTAGCAGGGCTGGTGGGCAGGTGGGCCTGGCTGAGGGAGCTCCTCCTCACCCTGCCCTGCTCCTTGACGCCAGGCCAGGTGGAAAGGAAGGGTCTGTGCCGCCCAAGGCCTGCAGACCCTGTTCCTAGAGGTCCTGTTCCAGCCCATGAGCAGGGCTTTGTGCCCTCCAGTTAGCGCAGGAGGTGACAAGGGCACAACCGTATCCAGCTTCAGGGTCCGGGATGGGCCGGAGGAGACTGCCCAGAGACCGGAGCCCTGAATTCTGGGCCTGTTTCCTGGGCCCCAACCCGCCCCGGCCAGAGACAAGTGGCTTCTGGTCCAGTTTGGTTTCCCCTGTGAGATGGAAGGGCCCGAGGCGGTGTCTGAGGTGCTGCTCCACTTTTCTCCTTAAGCTGCTCCTCTGAGAAGCAGCGGGGCCCTGCGGCTGAGCCCAGTATGGCAATTGGGGGGGGGGGGGGCGGGCGGTGGTGTGCACGGTATGTAGCTCCAGTTCCAGGATCCCCTCCCCCCACCTTTTTCTGCCGGCCCAGCAGCTCGGCGGCCTTTCCAACTCCGAGCTGGCACTCGCTGCAGACTGCACAAAGCGGGGACACCCTTTGTGAGGCTGGTGGGACCCGAGGGGAGAGGGCCTCTCACTGAGGACCTGCTCTCAGGACGGGCCCTCGTTTTCCTCCTCCTGCTTCCCCAGCCCAGGTTCACTACTCTCAGATCTCTAACCCAGGATGCTGAGTTCCCAAGTGCTACCCCTCCAGCCACCCCAAGCTCGGGACTAACCAGGGGCCAAGCAGCCAAGGCAAGAGCCCGGGAAGGAGGTGAGGCAAGGCCGGTGGCAGCAGGGGGAGGGGGGGGCATGCAGATAAGGGGTGAGCCATACAAGGGGCGGGGCAGACAGGTGGTTGAAGCTGGTTCCCTCCCCGTTTCCTGAACGAAAAGGTGCTGTGTGGTGGGGGCACGGAGCGGATGCAGACCTTTTGCAAACATCTTTATTAATCTTGTATAAAAATAAGTCCATGGAGAGTCCCGGATGCGGGGAGGGGCAAGGTTGCACGTTATAAGTTACCGGCCAGGCTCCCGCTGAGGCGAAGTACAGTATGGCTATCCGGGGAGAAGGTGCTGCAAGCAGCATCTGGGGGAGGGCCGGCGATTCTGACCCCTGCAGCGAGATGAGAGTGCGCCTGCCCGTCGGTGAGCCCCTGGCTGGGGGCAGCGGCAGAGGGGCTGCCCGGCCCAGCCGAGCTGAGGACCACCTTCCTGAGCCCATCTTGCCCCCTCTCCCCCATCCCCAGAGTCCGTCTGCGGAAACGGGCTACAGCGAGAGGCCCGAGTGGCCTGCAGGGGGGCCCGGGGGTCTCCGGCTACAGCGGAGGTCCGAGGTGGCCTGCAGGGGGGGCCCCGGGGGTCTCCGGCTACAGCGAGAGGTCCGAGGTGGCCTGCAGGGGGGGCCCCGGGGGTCTCCGGCTACAGCGAGAGGTCCGAGGTGGCCTGCAGGGGGGCCCGGGGGTCTCCGGCTACAGAGACAGGTCCAAGGTGGCCTGCAGGGGGGGCCCCGGGGGTCTCCGGCTACAGCGAGAGGTCCGAGGTGGCCTGCAGGGGGGGCCCCGGGGGTCTCCGGCTACAGCGAGAGGTCCGAGATGGCCTGCAGGGGGGGCCCCGGGGGTCTCCGGCTACAGCGACAGGTCCGAGGTGGCCTGCAGGGGGGGCCCCGGGGGTCTCCGGCGAGCGCTGCGGCGGCCGGTGTCGGAGCGGATGTAGGGCTGGTTCCGCAGGTCTAGCAGAGAGGAGACACACGTTTACCCTTCGGGTCTGCCCGAGGCCAGGCCTTACCCTCCTGGGGACCCAGGTTGTGTACATGTGGGAAGGGGCCAGGCCCCCTCAAGCACATCCCGCATGCAGGTCCAGGAGAGGGCAGCAGCACACATCCCCCCAAGAGCCCCCAGGGCTATGGGCGGCCACAGGAACCGGGGCCAGGCCCTCAGAGGTACCTGCGAGCTAGAGGGGGATCTCCTCGCCCAGGCTGGCCTCACAGAGGAGCCTGGATGTCCGCTTGCCAGTGCGGGCCGTGAAGGGCACCGTCTTGAGCACTGAGGGGGAGGAGGGAGTGGGGGCAGAGAGGGAAAAGAAAAAAGACAGGAAAAGTAGCACAGAGGCAGTGAGGCGGCCAGCCCCCAGGGGGGGAGGTGGATGGAGGACAGCATAGAAGGACAGACGGAGGAGAGACAGGCCTGGCCACGCCCTCACCTGTGATGATGTCTTCAATGGCCCCATCACGGTCACTCTCATAGATGAGCGGCTCCTTCTGCTGCTTCCGCTTCAGCTCAGAAATGAGGTCCATCTGTGGCCTCCGAACCCTGGGCGGGGACTGGGGGGGAGGGGAGGGCGAGGGTATGAAGCTCCAGTTCCAGGATCCCCTCCCCCAACACCACCACACCCTGTTTGGTGCCCTCCTGCCTCCAGCAAGCCCCCACTGCTGGCTGGAGCAGAAGGAACCCACTCCCATCCCAGGCTCCTCACAGGGCCCATGGGTGACAACGAGGGGGCGGAGGGGGCGGGGTCTCAGGGATGGGATCACGCGGGCTCAGGGGCAGCTGCCTACCTTGGGTGCCGGGGACTCCCCTTTGCCTGGCGTTTCCGCGCCTGCCTCCTGCGCAGCCGCTTCTTTCTTCCACTGCTCCACCTCCTGCTCCGCTTTCTGAGGGGCCAGGGTTGGTCTCCAGGAGCCAAGGTCTCCCTCACCTACCCCACCCCCCAACAGAAGCAGCCCCAGCCCCTCCCACTGCCCACAGGGAAAGGCTGCAGGGGTCCCAGCTTGCACGCCAGAAACACATACCTTGTAGGCCTTGACAAAGCGACTGAAGAGGGTAAAAAACATGGAGGGGGACGTGGTTTTGGGGTTTTCTCCGAAGTATTCCACCACAGAGTCGTAGGCCTCCTGCAGACACAGCCTGTCAGACCCACTGGTGTGGACCCCCCCGAGGCCTGACCGTGGCTCCGTACCATCCCCCCACCCCCCCAATAAAATACCAGCGACTTCCACTGCTCCTCCTGGCAGGTGTCCCCTCACTCCTACTCCATCCCCCACGGTGTCCACTCTCGTCCAAGCTTTGGCTACTCGACCCCACTAGGTGGCCCTGCTTACCTCCCACCCCCCAGCTCCAGGGCCCGGCCGGCCCCAGCCCACCTGAGCCGTCTTGCTGTCCGCCAGCAGCTTATCCATGGTGGGCGAGTTGGCCCTCAGGAACTCCTTGAGCACCACACAGTCATCCTGCCGCACAAACTCCCGCTGGGTCTGCTCCAGGCCTCGCTGCAGGGCGCGCACGTCCCCGAGGATGCTGTCCAGCGACACTGGGGGACGGGACAGCAGAGAAGCAGGGAATCAGAGAGACAGCATTCCCGCCCAGGGACAGGCTGTGATCGCCTTGTTTTCTCTCAACCCATAGCCATCTCAACCCAAGGACGGAGGACTGCCCGCCATACCTGAGCCTGCCTTGTCCAGGAAGTGCAGGTCACTGTGGAAGCCTGTGAGCTGTGGGTACTTCTCAGCAATGACCTTCACCAGGTAGTGCAACAGGGTCTGCTTTCGGTCTGTCGACTTCATCTCCAGCAGCTGCAATGGCCCATTGTAAGTCACAGGCCACCGCCCTCCCCCCTCTCCCAGCCCAGGGGGCCCTCCTCTCGCCCCTCACCGCATCCAGACTCTGGAGCCGGAAGCCATAGGCTGCTCCCCGCTTGCTGCTGTTCATGTAGTTGCCGAAGGCCAGGACAATCTAGGGGAGACAGGAGAGCTCAATTGCACAAGGAAAGGCGGCAAAGAGCAAGCCCCACACTCAGCCCCGTCCTGCCTGGACCCTCAGGTCCATGGACATGTATGTGGACACGTTTGACACGTGTGCACGGCTAACATCATGGCACACCCAATTTGGTCCTGTTATTCCTACTCAAAACTCTCCTGCCAACCTCTCCTCATAGGCCATGGGGTCGCCCCCTTCTAACAGCCACGTCTACTGCTTCCCTGGCCTCCCCTGAGATGTGGGTTCTGCTAATCCCCCAGTAACCCCAGGCAGGGTCTGAGGTGTGATGCTGGGGGGGGGGGGCCCTCAAAAGTAGGTTTACATTTGTCTCCCCTTTTGAATATAATAATTAATAAACAATAATACAAGAATAGCCCGGCTGGGGAGGCTCGGTGGTTGAGTGTCAACCTATGAACCAGGAAGTCATGGTTCGATTCCTGTACATGGTCAGGTTGCAGGCTTCGTTCCCAATAGAAGGCGTGCATGAGGCAGATGATAAATGATTCTCTCTCATCATTGATGTTTCTATCCCTCCCTCTCCCTTCCTCTCTGAAGTCAATAAAAACATATTTTAAGTATGTACTCTTGAGAGTTTAATCTTTTTGCCCCATCCTGTACATGGTCCTCACTCCCACCCTGAGCCTGTATATGAGAGGTGGGAACGTTGTATTTGTTGCATTGTAGGTGTGCAGGGCAGGGCCTGAGTCTCCCTCTAATAAGACCTAGAACAGGCAAGGAGTCAAGGGTGGACCCTACCTCCCAGGCCCTCGCCCCGGCACCTTACCTCCAGGATCTGGCGGAGTTTGTCGGACGACTTAATGGACATCGAGGCTGCGATGATGGCGTTCAGTTGCTGGGGACGGGATGGAGAGACCAGGTAAATTGGGGCCAGGTGGGGGCAAGCCCACAGGAGGCTCGAGTACTCCCAAACGTCCTCTTGGAGCCGAGGCTTGGGGAGCCCCTCACCCCATCCTCAACCCAGGCCACACCCACGCCACTCCGCCTGCCCCGCCCACACCGGCATGAGCAGCTGCACGGTATCCGGGAAGTTGCCCATGAAGGTCAGCGCAGCCATGCGCTCCGGCAGGCGCGGGATGCGGCTGAAGCGCAGCATGAACTGGTCCTCCTCCGACAGCTCCTCCACCGGCCGCTGGTCCCGCTCGAAGCGGGCGATGAGGGTGCGCTCATACTCCGTGGGCAGGAAGCGGGTCAGCAGCTCCAGGAAGTCCAGGCTGAGGGCCTGGAGGTCGTACCTGGAGGCAGACAGGCAGGCATTGCTCCACACCCACCAGCAATGGAGAGCAGGGCTATCCCCCTCCCCTTCCTTGATTGAATAAACGAGCTTCAGTATTTGCTATTTGCCAACAGCTTCAGGGAACAAGAGGTAGAGGTCAAGGGAAGTTGGCAGCTGGAAAGCCTGGGGTACCAGCACACATCAGAGGCAGAAGTCCAGCTGTAAATGCCTGAGCCTGAGTGCCCACAGCTGGGCAAGGAGGTGGGAGGGTAGTGGGGGGGGGGTAGTGGGGGGAATGGGAGCATCTCGATCAGAGCATGAACTCAAAGTATGGCCTGTTTCTCGGTCTGAAAATGGGAACAAGGCCCCCCCCTACTGCCTGACTAGGGTTGATATGAAGCTTGGTGGACCCCATCCCATAGTTGGGGTCCTTTTAGTAGGATCGGCCTACGCACTGCCTGGGAGGAGGACTAGGATGCCCACAGCCCAGGCGGAGGCACTCACGTCTCAATGGCCTGGCAGATGCGGGCGGCCCCCAGGTTGCCCTTGCGCAGGGTGATGGCCAGGTTCTTGGCACGGTTGGCCTCAATGAGCGTGGCCTTGCTGGGGGCCTTCTGGGCCGCTTTACCCTTGAGAGCACTGAGGTCCAGGCTGGGGCCTTGGGACTTGGTCTTGAACTGCTCCTCAAACTCACTCATGTCCAGCTCCTACGGGCACAGGGAGAGGAGGCGGGCCGGGTGGGCTGGGGTCTAGTGCATTCCTGACTGAGCACCGCGCTCATTGCCTGAGCCTCCTCTCCAGCCCCGGCCTGGCCACGGGCAGAGAAAGAAGCCGGTGATTCAACGTGACCAGAGGCCCTGCTGGGGGGTACAGGGGGGCTCAGGGAGCACTGAGGAGGAGGGGGAGCAGTACCCAGCCCAGGGGACCCAGACTCCAAGAAGTTATAGATGAAGGAAGAGCTGAATTGGCCAAGGGGAAAGGAAGGGCATTCCGGGCATAAGGAGCCGCCTGAGCAACAGCCTGGAGGTCAGAGAACACAGCCTTTTGAAAAACTGAACGTGGACCTGGCCAGCATGGCTCAGTGGTTGAGCATCAACCTATGAACCAGGAGGTTGCAGTTTCGATTCCCAATCAGGACACACGCCCGGGTTGTGGTTGTGAGCTTGATCCCCAGTAGCGGGCATGCCGGAGACAGCCTAGTAATGATTCTCTCTCATCATTGATGTTTCCATCTCTCTCACCCTCTCCCTCCCTCTCTGAAATCAATAAAAAAAAAAATATTTTTAAAAAAACAACACGACAACAACACTGAAAGTGGAATTGGAAGGACTGGAGCCCTGGTTGTTTGTGGGAAGGTGATGGAGAGGGCCCTCAAAAGAGGGGAAAGAGGTCAGACGTGGGAGATACGCTGCCTACTAGAGCCACTAACTCAGTTTGGCTGAATGCCCATTCCTGGGCCTCCACGTTCTCATCTGTAAAATGGGGTGGAGATGACCTCTCCTCGTGCCCAGCACAATCCAGGCAAGTCCCTTCCTCCGCTGGTGCCCACACCTGCAGCAGGCGAGGCCACACTCACCTGCAGCACCTTCTCATCATTGAGCTCCGTGAAGACAGTGCCCGTGATCTGGCTGGGTTTCAGGGCCACCCAGTTTAAGAGGGGCATTCTGAACTTGGTCTGGATGGGTTTCTTGGCCTTCACTCCTGGGACAGGGAGGGAATGGTGAGTCCTGGGGGCCACAGAGGGCGGGGCGGCTAGCGGGAACCAGGGTTCAGTAAGAGGAGCTTGGAGGACACTGAGGCCAAGGCCCGCCCTCCCGCTGCCCCCGCCCTGGGTGCCCCCTTACCTGGGCCCATGGCTGGGCCGGGCTCTGCACCGCCGTCAGAGGGGCCCCCGGGAGGCGGTGGGGGCGGCGGGGGCACCAGTCCACCCGGGCCAGGCGGCGGCGGCGGCGGCGGGGGCGGCAGGACGCCGGGCAGAGGGGGCGGCGGGGGCGGGGCCTCCGCGCCGCCGCCGGGGAGGGGCGGGGCCGGGGGCGGGGCTTCCTGCGGGGCGGGCTGGCCGGGCAGCGGGGGCGGCGGCGGCGGGGCTGCCGCTCCGGGAGCCGGCTCTGCGGACGGCGGGAGAGAGGATGGGGAGTGAGGAAGGGGAGATCCAGGTGCCTCTGTCTCCGCCGGAGCGGGCTGGTCTCCGCCTCCCCGCCCCACGCGAGCGCACCCTGCCCTTTCCCGCCCACCCGCGTCTGCCTGAGCTGCACCCACAGCCAGCACCCACCCCTCCCCGCTCTCCCGGCAGGTGTCCTCAGACTCCCCCCCCCCCCCAGGCCCTGGGTCCCCCACCCTCCGCACCCAGCCCGGAGAGCCCGCGCCCAGCCCAGAGAGCCCGCGCCCAGCCCTCAGACCCCGCGCCCAGCCCGCAGAACCCGCACCCAGCCCGGAGAGCCCGCGCCCAGCCCGGAGAGCCCGCGCCCAGCCCGGAGAGCCCGCGCCCAGCCCTCAGAGCCCGCGCCCAGCCCAGAGAGCCCGCACCCAGCCCGCAGAGCCCGCACCCAGCCCAGAGAGCCCGCACCCAGCCCGCAGAGCCCGCACCCAGCCCGCAGAGCCCGCGCCCAGCCAAGAGCCCGCACCCAGCCCGCAGAGCCCGCACCCAGCCCAGAGAGCCCGCGCCCAGCCCGGAGAGCCCGCGCCCAGCCCTCAGAGCCCGCGCCCAGCCCAGAGAGCCCGCACCCAGCCCGCAGAGCCCGCACCCAGCCCAGAGAGCCCGCGCCCAGCCCTCAGAGCCCGCGCCCAGCCCAGAGAGCCCGCACCCAGCCCGCAGAGCCCGCACCCAGCCCAGAGAGCCCGCGCCCAGCCCGCAGAGCCCGCGCCCAGCCCTCAGAGCCCGCGCCCAGCCCTCAGAGCCCGCGCCCAGCCCAGAGAGCCCGCGCCCAGCCCGCAGAGCCCGCGCCCAGCCCGCAGAGCCCGCGCCCAGCCCAGAGAGCCCGCACCCAGCCCGGAGAGCCCGCGCACCTGGGCTGGGGGAGCTGGCGGGCACGCCCAGCGTCGGGGCATCACCGCCGCCTGGAGTTGCCACGGCGACAGGGAGGATCTCGATGGAGACAGCGTCCCCGGGGCCCCGCAGGATGCGGAGCAGCCCCTTCTCCTCCAGCTCCTCCACCTTCAGCTCCAGAGCCGAGGGCCTGGCCGCGGCGGCGGGCGCGGGCACCTTCTCTGGCTCCGGCCGCCTGGGGACGCCCGCGGCCGCGGCATCGCTGAAGCGCTCCTGCGAGCCCCGGGGAGGGGGGTCAGTGCCCCGCCGCCGGCCGGCCCGTCCCTGAGCCCCACCCTCCTGCCAGGGCGAGGGAGGCATACAGCCCAGAAGCCCCCTGGTCTGTTCTGGGGGACCCAGACTCCCCCCGGCCCAGCCCGCCCAGCCCGGGGCCCCAGTCTCACCCGCATGGCCTCCAGCTCCTTGCGGGCCTGGCTCAGCTGCTTCTCCAGCTCCGCGATCTTGGCCATGGAGTCGTTCTCCGCGTCCCGGAGCCGCTCTGTGAGCTGTGGCAGCGGCACATGGTGAGTCCCCACCCGCTGCCGGGCGCTGGCACCCCCGGCGAGGGGGCGGCATCAGGCACGGCTGTCTGTCTGGAGAGCCAGCCGGGGGCGGCTTCCTGCCGCTCGGCCCAAGGTGTTGGGTGGGCTGAGCCTGGCACTTGCACCCACGTGGGTGAGGCAGGAGGGCGCTACCGTCCTCTCAGAAGGGGAACCGAGGCCCCACTCATGGGGGAGGCAGGGGAAGAGGAAACGGAGCTGGGAGGGGCCTGCGTCCAGGCCCTGGGAGAGGAGGGGGCCTGCCGCCCCCAGAGGCCCCGCACAGCTAGGAGCTCCACGGACACGCAGAGAAAGACCCCGAGGATTTAGGATGTGGGCTCGGGTAAAACTCGGGAGCCAGGCAGCCATGAGCCGGCGGTAAGCCCGGTGCCGGATGCGGGCGTGGGGACCTGCGGGCTGACTGTGTCCGGGCCACGTTCAGGAGCGGCTCTCACCAGGGTCACCTGCTCCTGCAGCTCCTCCATGTGCTCCAGCACGGCGTTCTTGGTCTCCGTGTCCTCCAGCAGCACGCCCACGTCGAACACGTTGTCCAGGTACGCCTGGATCTGCACCTGCAGCTTGTCGCTCTCGGTGAGCCGAAGCCTCTGTCTCCCGGAGGGAAGGGCGGGTGAGGCCTGGTGGGAGGGTCTTTCCGACACCCCATCCCGACCAGAGCCCACAGGAAGGGGCCGGGGCCCTCGCCTGCTTTTTCCCCTTTATTCGTTTTCCTTTCGGTTTTTCTTTTTTTCAGATAGAAAGAGAGAGGGTTAGACATAGAAACATCAACAAGAGAGAAACATCACTGAGCAGCTGCCTCCTGCACGCCCACCACTGGGGATCGAGCCTACAGCCCTGGGCCCTGACCGGGAATCAAACTGGTGACCTCTTGGTTCAGGGGTCAATGCTCAACCGCTGAGCCACACTAGCCGGACTCCTTTAGTCTTTACTGAGATTCAATTCACTATTTTAAACTGTACAGCTCAGATGAAACCGGTTTGGTTCAGTGGATAGAGCATCGGTTCGATTCCGGTCAAGGGCATGTACCTTGGTTGTGGGCACATCCCCAGTAGGGGGTGTGCAGGAGGCAACTGATGGATGTTTCTCTCTCATTGATGTTTCTAGCTCTCTATCCCTCTCTCTTCCTCTCTGTAAAAAAAATCTATAAAATATATATATTTTTTAAATAAATAAACTGTACAGCTCAGTAGTTCTTAGTGTATTCACAAGGTTGGGCAACCATGATTGCTAATTCCAGAACCCCGGCCCCATTAGCAGCCACTCCCCATTCTCCCCTCCCCCAGCCCCCGCCACCCACCAATCCATTGTCTGTCTCTATGGACTTCCCTATTCTGGACCTTTTCTATGAAAGAATCATACACCATTTGGTCTTTTGTGTCTGACTTCTTTCACCTGGCGTAGCGTTTTCGAGGCTCCGTGTTGGAGCGTGATCAGTATTTCTTCCTTTTGTGGCTGAACAATACGCCCTTGTGTGGAGACAGCACCCTTGCCTGCTGCTAGTTGTGGCTTTATCAATCCCGTCCCAAAGGCCCTCCCCAGGGAAGGCTCCCAAGGAATCTGAGAAGAAAGCTGCAGGCTTTCTGCTCAGGCCAGGAAGCACCGACCCCCGTCCCCCTTCCCAGGGAGAGGGGCCGCCAGGACCTGGGCCCATCAGTGTGCGCCCGCTCCCACTGTGGCCCAGCATCTCCTCACACCCCAGACCCAGGGCCACCCACAGCCCGTTCGGTGCCCGGCTCTGTGGACTGGGTGTCTATGATGAGGCGGACACCATCCTATGGAGAGTCATTATTATCGCTAAGATTCTCCTATTTGACGGACGGGAAAACTGAGCCTCAGAGAGAAGAGATCAGGCCAAGGTCATACGGAGAGCCAGGATTGGAACCCAAGCCTGCCACTGACCCCCAACACCCACGCTGCCAACCACTGAGCCATCCTCCGGGCAAACAGTTAAGCCCGGGGAGCTGCGGGCTCACCTCCAGGTACAGGTCCAGGCCCAGGTGGGTGAACTCGTACTGCAGGAAGACCCGGAAGTTCATGTTCTCCACGGAGTGCACCACGATGTTGATGAACTGCATGCAGGCCACCTGGGGGGGGGGGCCACGAGCAGGTCTGTGATCCTCCGGGTGAGGGGTTCTCGGTGCCTTCTGTCCCCCCACTTCTCCCCCCCCCAAGTCTGCCTCCCTCGTTTCTCACCCCCCTAACCCAGCTCTGTCCCTACCCATACTTCTCCCCGCGCCCCCTCCCTCCCAGACATCAGTCCCCTCTCTAATCTAACCCTCCCCCCTCCCCCCAGACATCAGTCCTCATACTCTGCAGGGCAGACACCGGGGCCCCTGGCTACACCTGGCGCCTGAGAGTGGCCGAGCCCAAGGTGGGCTCCTGAGCTCACCATGAAGTCGATGTTGCTGTCTTCCAGCCGGAAGTATTCCATCAGCTTTTCAAAGCGGTGCTGCTCCCCGCACACCTGGGGTGGGGGGAGGTGGGGGGGACAATGGCTGTCACGGAGGTCCCCGTGCCATACCTCCTACACCATCTTCCAGCTGCTACCCTTGCCCCCTTACAGGCTTCTCTCTAAGTCAGGCCATGATACTCTTCCGCTCAAAACCTCCGCTCCCCCTCCGTCCCTCATAGCCCTCCCCCTCGCTCACTGCCCTGGGCCACACTGGCACCCTGGCACAGTCCCGCCTCCGGGCGCCTCCACTTGCTGACCCATCGGCCTGGTGTGCTCTCAGACAGCCGCCGTGCCAGGTTCCTCACTTCCCTCTCAGCTCTGGTCAAATCCCACTGAGGCCTTCTCACTGAGGCCTCCCTGACCACCCTGTACTCAGCGCCCCCAACCCTTACGGCACCCCTCACTCTTTCCCCATAGCACTGGCCATTTTCCAACATACTATGTAATTTGCTCATGTGTCGTGTTGTTTATCATCTGCCTTTCCCTGCCGTGTCTCCTTGGTTAACTGATCCCTAGTATATCCCGAGCGCCCATTCTGTGTCTGACACGCAGTAGGTGCTCAATAAATATCCCTGAACGGTTCTGAATGCCACGTGCTGGCTTCTGCACTGTGTTTTCAAGCATTCGCTTCTCGTGAGCCAGGTAACCAGAGCCAGCAACTCTGAGATATGTGGATCAAGTCCAGTTTGGATATGGGCAAGGCTGAGGGCCAGAGCGTCAGCAGATGCTCTGGTTGTCCCTGTTACCCCAGGCAGTGCCCCTGGGTGACTCTCCACCTTCTCTTCGGAACTTCCCCATCCCAGATTGTCCCCGCCCCCCGGACTCCCCAAATGTCCACCTCACACCCCCAGCTCCCCCCAGCCGAGGCCACAGCTGCCAGCAGGCCTCTCAGCGAGACTAAGGGACAGTATGCCTTTGGGGGCCTCCAGTACCTCCTTGAAGTTGTCAAAGGCTGCAAGGATGATGTCGTGTCCTCCCCGCACCAGGCACACAGCCGCCAGCAGCTCCAGCACCAGCGCCTTGGTTCTGGGGAGAGAGGTCAGGTTGCCCTTTAAGCACAGCGGGCCCCACGCAAAGGCGGATTGGGGCCTGGCTCATGGCAGACAGGGGAGCTGATGAGTGGGGTGGGAATGGTGGGGGACGAAGCAGACAAGGGTTAAGTAGCAGGAGAATCCAGACAGAGAAAGGCAGGGGGGGCTGGGCCTCACCTGGGGTTCTTGTTGTTGAGGCTCAGCGCGATCTCGTTGACACAGGCTGGGTGGCTCATGACGAGGCTGAAGCCAGACTGCGGAGAGAGGAAAGGTCAGTCCTCCAGGCAGACCCCCAGGACTGCCAGCACTTCTGGGATTGCCAGGGCCAGCCCACTGCCCTGGAGCTTGGGAAGTCCTTTATCTCGACCCACAGCCTCTTCCGAGGCAGCCAATGCCTGGCTCCTCTTTTTAAAGACCTTTGTCTGCTCTAACGTCAGTGTCAGGACTCAGCACCTTGGACAGAGAGTCGTCAAAGGCAGGCGGAGGGAGGGAGGGAGGGAGGACCGGCTTCACTTAACCCTCCTCCCAATGACACAACCCAGAGCTGCTTTCCCCATGGGCCTGGTGACCAGCCTTTCTTGGAGGGTATGTCCCCATGTGAGACATACCCATGCCCAGGGTACTCCAGGCGGCCTGACCAGGAAGGGGCAGAAGATGGTCAACCTCAGGACCCTGAGCCAACAGCCCAGTCCTCCAGTGGAGGACAGGGCCGGGGCACCGTCGGTCCCAGCACCCCAGCAGCTTAGGCAGCCCCTGGTAAGAGCCGGCCTGGCTGACCCACCTGGTAGTTCATGATGGCGCGCAAGCACATGATGCAGACGTGGACGTCATCCTTCTGGCTGACGATGCGGGAGTTCCGCAGGGTCTTCCTGCTGTGGGCTGGCGTCAGCCTGCGGGGTGGGGAGGGGGCAGCAGGGGTCAGAGTCCCAAGCCCAGCTTCCTGGCCAAACCCCCAATACTATGGGGGGGGGGGCACATCTACCCAACCAAAGAGGGTGGCTGAGGACAGGAAGTTCCCCTCAGTGCCTAGGCCTGGGGCCTGACATGCTGGGGAGGACGTGGAGTGGGGCCGTCAGGAAAACAAAGACCCTTAACAGCATCTTGGCATTCAGAACGGTTGCTGTGACCCGGCCAGTGTGGCTCAGTGGTTGAGCATCGACCTAGGAACCAGGAGGTCAGGGTTCGAGTCCCGGCCCGGGCACAGGCCCGGGTTGTGGGCTGGATCCCCAGTGGGGGCTGTGCAGGAGGCAGCTGATCAATGATTCTCTCTCACCATGGATGTTTCTCTCTCCCTCCCCCTTCCTCTGTGAAATCAATAAAAACATATTCTGAAGAAGAAGAAGAAGAAAAGAAGGGTTCCTAGGCTGTGGAGAAGGAGAGCCTGTGAGAAAAGACAAAGCTTGGAAACCGCCATGGCAATGCTCTCCACAAGGGGGCGCTTCGGGCCACTTGGGCTTATCGCCATAGACAGAGGCGGCCTCTGAACTCAGACTGCCTTGTTTCAAAGCCCAGTTCACCACTCACTGTGCAGGTTACTTAGTCTCCCCGTGCCTCAGTTTCCTCGCTTGTAAAAGGGGAATGATAATAACAGCACCTCTCTGGTGGGGCTGTGGGGACTATGAAATGAGCCCAGAACAGTGCCTGGCACATAGTAGATGCTGTATGAGTGTGCTTAGTAACTCTTTGCTAAAAAACGTGATTTTTATTCGCTGTTGCAAATCTTGCCAATCGTGACTTCCACGTCAGTTCTTCTTGACAGTCCTATCACATGTCCAACAGCACCGGGAGGCCCCACCCCACCCTTCTGCCTGCCCCATTGCCCTTCTCTCATCGTTGTAAAACTATGCCTCTTGCTCATGCAGTTCCTCCTGCCTGAAATGCCTCTCCCTGTCCCCATCACTGCCTGTAAAGCCCATATCATCGCAAGGCACAGTTCCAGGACCACCTCTTTGGGAAGCCTTCCTAATGCCTCCTCAGACCTCGCAGTCACACCTGCATGACACCTGCCACACCCTGTCCCCTACCAGACCACGGACTCCCGAGGGCAGGGAAATCTGTCTCCTGAGCTCCTGCTACCATGACGGATACATAGGAAATGCCAAAAAGTATTTGTTCAATGAATGAATGAATGAATGAATGAATGAGCATGCTGTGAGAGTTTGGGTCTTCACATGAAGTTAGTCCTCTTCCTACCCAAAGCAGGAAGAGAGGAAGGTGGGCATCCACAGGAGGCTCCAGGGCCCCCTTCTCCCCTCCCCCCACCTCGCAGCAGGACGCCCTAAGTGAGGGTGGGGTGATCTGTCTACAGCAGCGAACCCAGGGGCATCAGCTCAACGCCTCACCCCACCCACCACCACCCGGGAGACCACCAGGCATGCACCTGCCCCCAGGAGGCAGCTACATACCGGGGAGAAGGGGGGCACCTGGAGGCCGCATGGAAGAAAAGAGGGCGTTAGATGGACACAAGAGGGGTCCCCTTCACCCAGAAACCGCTTCCCTCTTCCAGACCCACCCAGGCGCCCAGCCCTGCCCCGAGCTCTGGTGGAGGCCCTTCCTCTGATCCCTCCCACCACCACCGTCCCTGATGTCCAGAGTGAGGCTGGCTGTATGCAGAGGTCTGGGGGGGATCCTCCCTTCTCCCCCATCACCCCGCCACGGGGGGCCCACGTACTTGACGGTCAGGTGCCGACTCCTGGGCTGTGTTGCCGAGGGGGCGGGGGGGCCCTTGCTGAGGTCTTCCACGGACTGCTCCAGGGCCTTGCTCTTCTCCGCGCCCGGGGCCCCATTGTCCGTGCTCTCCATGTCATACCTGCGGGTCAGAGTGGGGCTGGAGGCCAGCGCTGCAGGGGGCTTAAGAGAGGAGGGGGGCGGGGGTGAGGGAGACACAGTCCTGCAGGAGAGCCGAGTGGGCAGGAGGAGGCGGTGCGCTTGGCACAGTGTTGGGCTCAGAAGGGGCAGAGGGGACAGTGAACAGAAGAGGAGACGCCAGGTCCGCGCTGGGCTCCCCAGGATACATCCCGCCCTGGCCATGGCGGGCCGGCAGGGAGAGGCGCTGCCCAAGGCCAGGTGCAGGCTCCAGGGCAGGCCGGCTGCGCCGTGGGGGGGGCGACCGGCGGGCGGCGAGGACAGAAGAGCTCAGGAGCCGCACGAGGGCGGGGGCGGGCTTACGTGACGGAGCACTGGGCGAAGGCCAGGTAGTCGAGGAGCACATCCAGGCCCCGGTTCTCCTCGTTGAGGAACTCCTGCACCCACCTGCGGACAGGGCTCCCTCAGGGCCGGCAGGAGGAGGCCCGCCCGGCGGGCACACAGAGCGGGCACTTTCCCCGGGGCTCAGGCAGGACCACGGCCTGGCCGGGCCTCAGGGGCGGGCAGAGCGTGGGTAGACGAGGAGGCAGAGAGGCTGTCCGGGGCCCCTCCCCGGAGGTGGCCCACAGGGAGAGGAGGGGGAGCAGGGGGCTCAGCAAGGGACGCCCCCTGGAGGCAGAGCCCCCCCCCCCACCCTCCCGAGGGAGAGCTGAGCCGGCTCACCCGATGTGGTTCGTCCTCAGGGAGATCTCCAGCTCCCGCAGCACCTGCGTGGACTCCTGGACTCGCCTCTTAAACTGGGAGCGGAGAACAGGGAGTCTAGCCCGCCAAGCCCCTCCCCATAACTGGCCTCTCCGGTCCAGCCTCCCCCACCACCGCCTCACACCTGCCCAGCAGAACAGGCGTTCTCAGGCCACACACTCCCCCAGGCACAGGCTCGCCGGGCGCACACAGACCTCCACACACAGACGTACAGCACACACACACCCGGGACACAGGGCGCACACACATTCAAACGTGAATACCCCAGGTACACACACACACACACACACACACGCAGGTCCAGACACAAATATAAGGTACCTACACATCTACACACAGACACATGGGGGACTCACACACACCCTGTACATGGACTCAAACGTACACACAGCCGGGCTGGTGTGGCTCAGTGGTTGAGCGTTGACCTATGAACCAGGAAGTCACGGTTCGATTCCCGGTCAGGGCACATGCCCGGGTTGCAGGCTCCATCCCCCGTGGGGGGGGGTGGGCAGGAGGCAGCCGATCCATGATCTCTCATCATTGATGTTTCTATCCCTCTCTCCCTCTCTCTCCTCTCTGGAATCAATAAAAAATATATATATATTTTAAAAAGGTACACACATATCCATATGTGAATACAAAAGTACATATGTGCATATCCATGCACAGACACATGAGGCACACACGCCTATACAAGTACACACTACACACGTGTGCAGTGTAAGCACACACAGGACATGCGGAGGAGCCTGTGCACGGGCCTGCCCAGTCCCTGCGGACACACACTCACACCTGCACCCACACAGCCACAGGGAAGTCTGCACACACAGTTCCTCTCGCTGCCCGGAGCTGGAAGCGCAGGGGGAAAGGAACAGAGAAAAGGGGGGAGACATGTACCCCCAGGTTGGACATCCAATCCGATGCTACCTTGCGGCTGACCCCACCCGTTTCCAGGTAGCTCTTCAGCTTCTGGATGTAAGCTGTGGGCGGGTTCTTGACTTGAAACCGCTCCTGGGGAGAGGGAAGGGGGTGCACAGGAATCAGACCAGCCTTGGTCCCAGCCTCCCCTCTCAGCTTTACCCCGGGTTCCTGCCCAAAAGGAGGCCTCACCAACCAATCCGCCAGGCCACTTCCAAAGACCCCGGGCCCAGGCCTCACCTTTCCTTCCCACTGTAGCCTCACAGGCCACGGTGGCCCTCGCACAGCCTTGGGGTGGAGTATGGAGGGCTCAGTCCCGCCATACACCCCACCTGGGAGGAGGGGACTCAGCTGGGGGCACTCTCCCAGCCCACAGCTGGGCGTGCTGAGAAGAGACACACTCTCGAGGGACCTTAGGGAAGGGCCAGGTCCTCTGCAGCCGGCTGAGGGCCCCTCCCCCAGGACACCACCCAGCTGTCCGGTCACCTGGGGTGCTGGGTACCCTGTGTGCTCAGCTCCTGTGCTCCCGCCTCCCCGCCCCACCCAGCGCTCCCGCAGCCGCTCCCACAAAGAGGTGGTGGCGCAGCAATGGCCTCCTGCCTGCCTGCCTGCCTGCCTGCGGGAGGCGCTCCCATCCCTCCTTCCCACCCCAGGCCCTCCACCTCTGCCCAGCCCTCCCCTCCCACCTCTCCCAGGCCTTTGAGCTCCAACCTGAAGAGGCCAGGCCCAGTGGCAGGGACCCCCTACCACATCCTCAAAGCCTCTGGTGGTGGCTCTCCACCCCTCCCCAAGGCGGGCCCTCTCCCCACCCCCATCCCCACACTGGGCCCTGCCAGCTCCTCCCATCCATTAGCAGCTGCAGAAGGCCCAGCCCTGGCTCCCAGGGGAGACTCCGGCTCCCCTCTCCCTACCCTCAGCCTCGGGCTACAGGCCAGCCTCCCGGTTCACTAAAATCCAGCGGCAACCAGACCCCGCCCCGTGGCAGCAGTGGGAGGGGTCCGCCTGCTACCATGGACAGCAGCCCCAGAAGCCGGAAAAGCCCAGGCTCCCAACTGTGAAAAATGCAAAACGAGGCAGGGGCTCTGGTCCCTGCTCCACCGCTTCGTAGCCAGTGGGCTCCGGGGAGCCGTGTGGTGGCCGGCAGCTCCTCTGGACCCAAGGTCAAAGGAGGACAGGCACCCTGCCCACTTCCCCTGGGGTCAGACCAAGATGGGCCGGCCCTGGGGGAGTCCCTTGCTTCCCCCGACCAGCGCTGGAGGGTGGACAGAGGCTGCTCCAGGAAGCTGAGCAGAAGGAGGGTGACAGCCCCAGCTGGACTGGCTAGCTCAGGCGCTGGCCCGCCAGCTCTCCAGAGGACACACCCAGCCCTGTATGACTCAGAGGTCCCCGGGGAGGCCCGTGTCCAAGAGAGGGAGGTTCCGGAGTCCTGCCAATGCCGCCAGCACCCCAGCGCCGCCCCACATGCCACACTGGCCTCTGGGCAGGGTCTGGCCCTTTGGGCAGCGTGGCAGTGCCTCCTCCCCAGCCAGCCCCAGCCCGGCCAGGGCAGGGCCTCCGGTGACGGGAGGGTCCCGGTACCCACCTGGTCACAGATGAGCTCCCACTTCTTCTCATTGTCATATTGGCTCAGCAGCTGGACCTTGTCCGGGGGCAGGTTCATGCAGTTCTGGGACGGGGAGGACAAGATATAGACCCTGAGCCTGGGGCCCAGCAGGAGGGGAGGGAGCATGGGCATTTTCCGGGAACCCACTAGGGTCCAGCTCCCTAGATGTCTGTCATACACATGAATCCCCACCACCCTCACCCCGGGAGACAAGTAACATTCGACAATGGGGAAACTGAGGCACAGAGGTGGAGCGCCCTGCCCTAGGCCCAACAGCTAGAAAGTGGCACTGAGATTTGAACAGGAGTCTGCCTGACCCAGGGCCTGAGCTCTGTCTCCCCACACCAACTCCCTGGCACACCTGGCATGCAGGCAGGAGGCTAGGTTCTCAGCCTAACTTCCTGGGACCTCAAACACCTCTGGGCTCATCTCCCCATTTTTACTCATAAAAGGGTAAAATGCCAATTAGACCAGACATCTTCCAGACGTCCTTCCAGACAAAGCCATGGTGGCAGGGGCCCAGGCAGAGGTGGTTAGGGGTGATCAGGCCGGCAGGGAAGGGCAGTTAGGGGCGATCAGACAGGCAGGCAGGCAAGCAGTCAGGAGCCAGTGGTCCTGGATTGCGAGAGGGATGTCTGACTGCCGGTTTAGGCCCAATCAGATCCCAGATTGGAGAGAGTGCAAGGCTGAGCTGAGGGACACCCCTGCCTCCCAGCCCCCCGGCCCCGTGCACAAATTTCGTGCACCGGGCTTCTAGAGTGCAATAAGGTATCATCCCTTCTCCACTGGGGTGTGACGCTAACAGGAGCGCATCTACAGCCAGGCTCCAACGTGGCCACACACCACCAGACACCACCACATGCCCAGCGCAGGGCACCAGTGCCTCACAAATGCCAGGAAAAACTGTTTCGTTGATCCTCACCTGAGCCTATGTTTTCATCGTTTTTTAGAGAGAGTGGGAAAGAAGAGGAAGAGACAGAGAGAGAGACACATCGATGTGAGAGAGACACATCGATTGGCTGCCTCCCACACGTGCCCCGACCAGGGACGGGGATCAAGCCTACCTCTGAGGTACCTGCCCTTGACCCTTGACCAGAATCAAACCCGGGTCCTTTCAGTCCGACGGCCAACACTCTATCCGCTGAGCCAAATTGGCTAGGGCAGTGGTCGGCAAGCCGCGGCTCTCGAGCCACATGCGGCTCTTTGGCCCCTCGAGTGTGGCCCTTCCACAAAATACCACGTGAGGGGGCGCACACGTACAGTGCGACTGACACTTCGTGGCCCACGCGCAGAAGTCGGTTTTCGGCTCTCCAAAGAAATGTCAGCCTTTGCACTGTTGAAATTCGGCTCTGTGGACTAATGAGTGCCGGCCGCTGGGGCCCGGGCAACACCAAAGTCTCACCATGGTTTTCTGCAGACGGCAGCCTTCTTCCCCATCCCTCTCCAGCCCCCCCACCTCGTCACTTCTGGAGGGAAGGAGATGGGGACAGGCTGAGGGAGCTGGGGTCAGAAGGTCAGGGAGTTCCAGGCAGGTGCATCATGGCTCCGGGGGTGGGAGGGGGGATTCCAGGGGAAGGTCACCCGACACGCAGACAGCGGCCCAGGCTGGGACTCCCCTCGGGAGCTAAGGAAGCCTCAGCCGTGTGCTCTGCCTGGGTCCGCCCCAGCGGGAATGTCCTGGGTGTGGTGTCCCTGCCAAGCCCCTCCCCCACAGGCAGCACCGGGTCCCGCGGGGGCTGTGGGGTCACCCGGTGTTGCCTGCGCGCAGGGCTCCCGGATCCCCAAGACTTAGCATGTCTTTCTAACAGACCCGGAAGACGATGCTAGTTCACCCCCATGCAGTGAACCTCGGGTTATGGGGTGTCCGCCCCCAAGAAGCAGGTCTTCCCTCCAGGAGCCGAAGTCCCCTGGGGTGATACCAGAGGAAGCCCCTGTCCCCAGCTCCTGCCGTCGCCCTGACAGGAGGCCGCAGCTGGAGCCGAGAGGGGCCCCACCCTGGAGGCCGCACAGCCGCTTCCTCTCTGGGGCGCTGGGCCCAGAGCGAGGGCTCGGCCCAGACTTCATCCCCGAAATCACTGCCCTCGGTCGGCCCAGACCACAGGAAGCCACGCTCTCAGCCCCCGTTGCCTAAGCTCTCTGGGCCCCGAGGTGGAAGGTGAAACGGCCCTTCCTCCAGCCCCCCAGGCCGGCTGGGCACGGGGGTGTGTCATTGCTCACCCCACTTGTGAAAGTGAGCCCGGGCTGAGGAAACGGCTGCTGTCTCCTCCCCACCTCCTCCAGCCCAACCCTGACCGCAGCCAGCAGCCCCTGCCCTTGGGGAGGGTCCTACTGGGCCAGGGAGGCCTCCCTGCGCGCGCGCGCGCACGCGCACTCTCTCTCTCTCTCTCTCTCTCTCTCTCTCTCTCTCTCTGGCTCTCGCTCTCATCCATCCCCACCCCACAGAGACCCAGGGCGGGGCAGGGCTGAAGTGATGGGGCAAGGCTGAGGGGAAGGAAGGAGAGAGAGAGGACAGGCAATAACAAGGGAACCAGAGCAGCAGCCAGGACCAGGGAGGAGGGATTTGGGGGAGGTGGGGAGGGGAAGCAGCTGAGCCTTAGAGGAGGCCCCACTTCCCAACATGGGCCTTTCCGGGCCCTCACCCCACCCAGGACCCTATCGTGGGGGCCGGCCTTGCCTGAATGCTTGCCGAGTGGGCATGCGCTGAGCCCTGCACGCAGACGCCTGCCGTCCACTCTCACACCATCACTGCCCCTCGATGAGCCCACCTTACAGGTGCAGCACAGACCAGGGAGCCGCCCCAGCCACGAATCCAGGAAGAGGGGAGCTGGGTGGGCTTGGAGCCCAGAGCTAACTGCCCCAGCGCCCTGGCCCGTCCCCGGGGACAGCACAGGGTTATCAGTGGGGAGGGGGAGGCCTCTGCCGGAGCTGGCACACCTGTCCTGACCCACAGCCTCTGCCCACCCTCTCCCTCCGCCCCCTCCCCACCTGGCCCCCCGCAGGCCCAGCCTGCCAGACGGGCTAAATTTAGGCTCCGAGATCAGAAATAGCTCTGATGGCGCTGAGCACTAATTAGCAGCTGTTCCTTGGCTGTGCCCACCGCAGAGATGGGCACCCTAGGGAGCGGGAGAGGGGCCGGTGAATGCCATTCACCCTGAGTGAGAACAGGCCCCCGACCCAGGGCCCTCAGCCAGGAGGCGGCACGAAGGGGCTGAGCCCTGGGAGGCACACGGCAGTCTGGCTGACAGCTCAGCTGGGCCAGGAAGGGACAGGTGTGGCTCAGAGCATCGACCTAGGAACCAGGAGGTCACAGTCTGACTCCCAGTCAGGGTGCCCTATGCATCCCCAGTGGGGGCCGTGCAGGAGGCAGCCGATCAATGATTCTCTCTCATCATTGATGTTTCTATCTCGCTCTCCCTCTCCCTGCCTCTGAAAGCAATAAAAATATTTTTTTAAATAAATAAATAGTAAGAGAATAACGTGGGCACACTCCCCTCCCGCCTTGCAGACCCACGGAGCCCCCAGGAGCACCGGCGGGGAGCTGGCTGTGTGGCAATGACCCTCTTGGGTTATACACCACGACGAAGAGGCTCTTCGGACTGGGGGAGGGGAAGTGGGTCTGTGATCCCGAGGTGAGGGACGGTGTGGCGAGCGGGAGCCAGTGAGAACATCCAGGTACAGCAAACCTGCCTCCAGGCGTGGCCCGAAATGGCCTGGCCCTTCAGCACCCTCCGCTGCCCCCGGTATGCTCTGGGTCAGAGGGAGAAGGAGAGAGGGTCATCTCCCGGGGTACAGCCAAGAAAAGGGGCTGGCTTCCCAATGTTTCTTTTTCTCTGTAAGACTGTGTGGAGACCAGCCTGGCCGGCATGGCTCGGTGATGGAGCATCAACCTACGGACGGCGGTCGGCAAACGGCGGCTCGCGAGCCACATGCGGCTCTTTGGCCCCTTGCGTGCGGCTCTTCTACAAAAATACCACGGT